TATTTTTATCACTGGACAAAAAATGTATTTCTAACATTCAGCTGTTTACTGTCTGCAGTCCTACACCTTCAGTATATACATGGACAGTAAAAACAAAGAACATAATTCTGAAAATCTGATGAGAAATTTATAGGAATAACATTTCTGTGCATCACAAAGATGGCCTGCAACTGTATTCTTCTTTAGATCCTTACAATAAAAATCGAGTATTTTCATAAATCTTTAACACTGCACCTACTCTTACAGGACTTTGATTTTAAAAGTTAATTTTACCTTATTTATGAATAACAAAGCAGAAACAATAGTGACAGGATGAAAAGTTTCAGTCTGACAGGTTTTCAGGTGGAACTCAGCATGGGTGTGCCTGACTGAATGCTGAGATTTCATTCCTCACATCGATGGTAACAACCAAACAAGGCAGCCAATGATTGAAGATCACAGCTCCCTTTCTGGCCTGATAAAAACAAGGGTGAGCAGATCTCACATTTCAGCTATGTCAAGTGCCAGTTGCTTTCACAAGTCAAACCACAAGATATTTTAGAAAATATTTTTCCATATTGGCAATTGGCAAGAGATTATACAGTAATGGAACCTTCAAACCTCTGTGTCTATCGAAGAAGACATTACTGCATACAGGGAAAACACATAGACATATCTCCACAGGAGAAGACTCCTGGAAATACCTATTTTTATTTTATTGGATTCATGTGCAGCACTTTACTATATACATATCATATATGTCATGTCACTACTGTATAATGAAAATGTGCACACTATAAAAAGACATACTCTAACAGAAAACAAAAAAATGCTTGGTTGCACCTCTGCCTACAGTAATTACAATATTTAATTATAGGCATCATAAGCAAATTGCACTAAAACACAAAGACTAAGACTGTTAATCATTATTTAATGAACCATAAGGAAATATTTAAGTAGTTCTTATGTGAATGATCAAGACATAGAAAGACTCATGTTACTGATATGTCACTGATATGCTTAAGCCATGCTCCTCAGGGGTTACTCATTTTCTGTAGTCAGTCCACATCTCTTGAGTGGGGTTCATTAGCATGAGCCAGGTTGCTTCCTCTCCGAGATCTACACCTGAGTGACGGACAGCTCCTCAAGTGTCCTGGTGCTCGTGACGGTGGAGCTGTTCTCTTCCACAGTGGTTTTGCTTGTGCTGGAAATGGCTCCGTCTTCAATGACCAGGGAAGGCATCTGCCTCGTCTTTGTGAAGAAACCCTTCTTCTGGAGGTTTTTGGAGTATTCGTAGTACCCCAGCACCTCCGTGTTGATGTTCTCAGAGAAGTTTTCGGTCATCAGAGAAAAGAAGACAAAGCCAAAGAAAATCCCAACGATGACGACCACGTATATGGTGTTCCAGACACTGAAGCGCCCATCATTGTCATGCTTCGTGTAGTTTCTGCGTTGCTCCAGGAAGTGCCAGAGAAGCAAGTCCAGTTCTGTTCTGTTCACCATGGCTCTTGCTGCAAAGAGCAGAAAAGGGGATTCTTTTTTTTCAATTACAGTACTTAAGTACATAACAAAGCTTACAAATGAGAGCACACTTGTCCCATTTAGTTCTTTTGGTAATTCGTAACTTATTTGAGCTAAAATCTGAGGAGCTTATCCAGATGTTTTCTTGAAAGAAGTCATGGTAACATCTTCCACACTCCCACAAATCCTTCCTTCCTAGGATAATTATAAAGTTCTGGCATTCCCAGACACAGCTGAATGTCCCAGGCATTATGTTTTGCAAACAG